CATATATTTTAAGTTAAATTTAATATGTTCCATTGTTCTAAAGCAGGCACGATATTATGAACATAGATAGCGTAGACGGCTCATACCATAATAATTTCAAAGTGATTCTGTTTACTGTCTGTTTCTCGAAATCCTTAATTTTCAAATGCAGATATTGAAACTGAAAGATAACATGTTAATGGAAGTTTCTAAATCTCTTCAAAGCACAAAAAGATGTTACGTTATTGCTGTGAGAAATTTGAACATAAATTCGTACGGCTAAGAAGTGTATTGGAGTTTGGGAACTTTAGTATTCCAAAGATTTCCAATAAACTTTTCAAACTAGTGATCCTCTGCAAATTTCTGCTTCGAAAGTCTCACATTTTATGTACTAATACGTACGTAATTTTATAAGATTTTTGCGATAGGTAAGAGCACTAATCTACATCTTTTAACGAAACACCGCTTAATATTCGTAATAAGTGATTTTTGTTATTTGAAAAAAAAAACATTTACCTCAAGATCTTCAAAATATTCTTAGAAGTTGATTTTTTATAAGGAAATTTTCATTAAAATTCCTTTTCTGTATCTACCTATCAATATACGGGTATAATAAACTAATATGATGAATCTTGTGCATGAATATAATTAAAGCTGTTAGAACTGGACAAAGACATTCCCACAGTTTGACTACCTTTTCAACTTCATTATCATGTATCATCTCTATATTTGTTTTTGTTTATGGCTGCCTTTGCGCAAGCGTTTAGTGTCAATTTATTAATCGCAAGTGAAGATAATTACAACGTTGAAGTGAATGTTTTATCTTTGTAGTATTTTGAAATGACTTTCGAAGGAAACTGTATTTCTGCGCGTTTCAAAGGTAATTTTGTACATTTTAATCGATCGCATCTATTTATCAATATTTGAGGGGGTAAGAGACAAAATATGAATTATTTCTACTCATTAATGAGCTGGACCATAGTGGATAGCAGGGCTTTCTGTGTTTTGTCAAAAAGGTGGCATTCTTCGTCCATACCACACAGGTACCATGACATATCGGCTTGAGCCTGGAATG